TAGAATACAGATGCCCAGGGCCAACAGATAGGACTGTGGTCAGAACACCCCTGGGGTCTACTGGGGCCCAGCAGGTTAAGCCATCACCTGCACTGCCAGTATCCCATATGGGTACCAATTTGAGTCATGGTTGCTCTCTTCGTGATACTAGTTCCATGTTAATGACCTGGGAAGAGCAGAGGATGGTCTCAGTCCAGTACACTAATTTTGTTCAATCTCTTCCTTTCACACCTGGAGAACTAAGGCTCGGAGCAGTGAAGATCATCCAGTAGTTAGTGAATGTCACAACATGTGCTGACACTGAGGACTCCAAGCTCAGTTCAAGTATTGCCCTTGACCCACACAAGCCACAGAGAGTTTCCTCAAGAGACCACAATGGCTGGAGCTGCATCAATCCAAAGCCAAGAACCAGGATATCTTCTGGGTCTCCCATGTGGGTGCAGGGTCCCAAGGCTTTGGGTCATCCTCAACTGCTTTCCCAGGCCACAAGCAGGGAGCTAGACGGGAAGAGAGGCCACCAGGATTAGAACCAGCACCCATATGGGATCCTGGTGTGTGTAAGGGGAGGACTCTAGCTATTAGGCTACCGTGCTGGGCCCTCTCCCGCTATTTGTTAAGCCCCTCCCTCAACAGGCACTCACTAAGTTATTAACTGGTATCTCCAGGGTTGGAACTCAACTTGGAAGTCTAACAGTCATCTAACCCCTAAATGCCCAGGGTCTTCCCCATTTCATTAGAAAACTCCTTTCTTTCAGCTACCCTCAACGTAGCAGTGGGGAAAGCACAAGTCATACCACAGACCTTTACTCCTCAAAACCCAAAGTCCAGGTTTTCCCATATGCCAGCCCTGCCCAGGCCAGAATGCTGGCCGTCCCCTGAGCCCTGCTCTCAGCTGATGCGCTCTACCCCACAGGCCTGTGCGACATCCTCAAGCACACCAGCCAGGAGCCCGCCTTGGCCTTCAGGGCCTTGTGGGCACACTGGCGTGTACCCTTCAGGTCTCCAGCCCATGTCACTCTGACAGGAGCCTTCCTTAACCATGCCACGGGAATCCCCACGCACTCCTCCTCAGCCTTGGGTTCACGGCTCTCTGCCTCTGACACACAGAGCAGCTCACTTCATGCCTGGCTGCTGCAGAACCCCGGGATACCTGCTCGAAGGTACTCCACCCCGAGAAAGGGACAACCGGCCAAGCTCCGACCCACACTGTTCACAGGAGAGCAGTCTGAGTCCAGGCCAGTTCACTACCATTCAAGTATCTGACAAACAGGCAACATCTTTTGTGCTTAGCTTTTCTCCTTTTAAAATGTATTTTACTTCAAAAGCAGAGTTATACAGAGAGAGAGGAGAGAGAGAGAGTGATCTTCCATTTGCTGGTTCACTCCCCAGATAACCGAACCAGGGCTAAGCCAGGAGATTCATCTTGGTGTTCCACATGGGTGCAAGGATCTAAGCACCTGGGCCATCCTCACCTGCATGCTCAGGTGCAGCAGCAGAGAGCTGAGTCAGAAGTGGAACAGCCGGGTCTCAAACCAGTGCCCATGTGGGATGCTGGCCTCACAGGCAGTGGCTTAATCTACCATACCACAATACCAGCTCTTGTGCCTAGCTTTTATAAATTGATGAAAGCTTGTCAGTAGGAAGGGGTTGTGAATCCAGAACCCCTATCAGGATGGTTAAAGGTGTATGTGTGACTGCTGCCCCAGGTGTCTCATCTATAGGTTTGCCTGTTTTGAGTGTGGCATCAGTGTGACACCTGGGGAGATGAACAGCCAGTTCTGAGATCCACATGAAGAGGAGGTCATGTCTTAGGAAAGGGGAGCCACCTGAAGCCACCGAACGATGCTCTTTAAATTTGCAGGTAAATTACATCTCAATATGTCCATCATGCTTTATGAAAAGATGAACAGCAAAGCGGCTGGAACCAGAGGGTGCCGAAGTTTCGCAGGCACAGGACAAGGTGGCACAAGAGCTGAGAATCTCAATGAAGGCTGTGACTTGACCTTCGACTAACCTTTCCCTTCCCTGACTTGAGATGGACCATCCTATGAGAGAGGAGCAACCTAGAGACTCGAGATAAAGGAGGCAAAACCCCTCATCCTCCCAGGCTAGGTAAAACCTTCCCATTGGAGCTCACAGCAGCCCAGTTCATGGCTAAGGGACCCTGCCTACAGCAAGCAATAGCAGCCTCGCACCTGTAGAACAAGCCTGCACTGTGTGAGCACAGGGTACTGGACAGTTGAGTGTGCTACCAGCCTCACCTGCCAAGGCAAGCTACAGGCCCAAGGACTCTAAAACCCAGAGGTGTACACAATTAGTCTTGGGGTATCCCCATGGCCGTATGAGGTTGCTATGGAGGTTGAGGAGCTGAGGGGCCAAGAGGTTTCTCAAGACTCTCTCCCAGGGGCCCTGTACTTGTTGCCTCACCCCTACCCCTCTCACTCACTCCACCCCACACACATGCATACACACCTCAGCTTCCCACCAGGCCACATCCTCATAAGCCCCCTGGAAATTGCAAACATCCTAAATAGAAAATGCAATGAATACACCTAGCCTACTGTCACGGCTGACAGCCTCTTGCAGAACTCCAGCTGAAATTCACTACACAAGGGTGGGCCTTCCAGAGGCGACTAGACCCTGAGGGTTATGCACCCCACAATGGCTCTGCACCTGCAGGAGTGACTTTGGAGTTCAGCAGATGTGGTGAGCTTCTGCTGTGGGCCAGTCCAGTAGCAAGGCCCTCAGCAGATGGAGTCTCCGGGTCGTGGACTCCCCACCTTCCAGCACTGCAAGCCAGAGTCTTCTATCATCCCTGATGATGCTCCTGGGTGTGACCCCGCATGGCAGCAGCAGGCAGTGGACTGCCCGTTCTGACCCCCACCCTGAGGAGTGACCACCAGGGGCAACCCAGCATCAAGATCACATGCTGATTGCTGTGGCCTGGACAAGAATCCAAATTCACATCCAAGGTGCAGTTTCCACTGAGTGTCTACTGCTTTCATGTCGTTGTGAAGGCAAAAATCTTCAGTCAAACCATCACCCTTGGCTGGTGTGGTCTCCTCACCCTCCTCCACTCTCAGGTCCCTCCTCCAGGGAGTTTGCTCTCACTTGCTCTCCCTTTAGCTCCCTTCTTTTGCCTCCCCTCTCCATAGAGCTCGGGTGAGCTCAGTGCGCCCAACCCTCTGCGGGAAAATAGGGATCAACCAAAGCACCTTTCCTGGCAACCCAGACAGGCACCCTGGGGCTCTCGGGACGCCCCTGCAGGTGTCCCTGATGTTCTGAGGGAATGACGGGGATGTGTCCAAAGGGACTGCCCTTTGCCTCCTCTACCATCACACAAGAAAGAACACGAGGGGCCCTGACCTGTAGGAGATATGCTGTAAAACGCTCACAGAGTAACTGATGTGCATGTTCGGGGGACTGCTTCAAAACAACACAGGCAAGAAAGTGCAGGAAGGGGACATGTAAATGAGAGGAGACTGGCCAAAAACTGACAGCTGCAAAATGTGCCTGAGGTGTTAATGGAGGCTTATCACGCTATTTCTGCTGTGTCGGTAACAGGAACCCAGAATTTGGCCAGTGGACTCCGGAGGTCCTACTGAATAACCACCAAAGAGACATCCATGAGGATGCCCTGTTGTTTTTACTAAGAACAAAAGAAGAAAAAAAGTATTAATGAAATGAGAAGAAACTGTAATCTTTGTGCATTGGTGGTAGCAACATAAAAGGCCACAATCACTTTAGGAAACTGTGGGAGCACCTCAAAAAAATTAAACACAGGGCCCAGCACAATGGCTCAGTGGCTAAACTCATCTTGCTAGCACTGGCATCCCATATGGGCACCAGTTCATGTCCCGGCGGCCCCACTTTCTATTGAGCTCCCTGCTTGCAACCTGGGAAAGCAGTCAAGGATGACCCAAAGCTTTGGGATCCTGCACCCATGAGGGAGACCCGGAAGAGGCTCCTGGCTCCTGGCTTCAGATCAGCTCTGCTCCAACCATTGCAGCCACTTGGGGAGTCAATCAGCAGACAGAAGATTTTCCTGTCTCTCCTCCTCTCTGTACATCTAACTTCCCCCAAAAATTTAGAAATTAAACATAGAGGAGTGGGTGCTGTGACACAGTGGGTTAAGCCTCTGACATCGACATCCTGTATCAGAGAACTTCCTCGACTCCTGGCTACTCTGCTCCTGACCCAGCTTCCCGCTACAGACCTGGCTAGATAGCAGAAGATGGTCCAAGGGCCTGGGCCCAGGCTGCTGGCTTCAACCTGACCTAGCCCTGACTACTGTGGCTACTTGGAAAGTGAACCAACAGACGGGAAGATCTCTTTCTCTGACTGCCTCTCTTTGTCAATCTGCCTTCAATTAAATAATTAAAAAAAAAAAAGCTAAACACAGAGGACACATGATGTTTAACAACTCCAATGCTGAGAATATAATCATGGAACTACTCAGATACCCATGTATCCACAGCAACGCTCACAGTACCCAAAAGGAGGAAGAAACCCACACGTTCATCAGTATAGATGAATGGATACATACAGTATGCATATAAACACAGAGGAATCTTTCTTAGCCTTAAACCAAAGGAAATTCTGACGCATGCTACCCATGGGTGAACCTCGAAGGCATTATGCAGAGTGAAATACACCTGGAAACAAGAGGGCCAGTGTTAAAGGATCCCAGCTGCATGGCACCCTAAAGCAGGCGAATTCATAACAGACTGCAGGGAGAAGGGTGGCTCCCCGCTGCGCAGGGGCAGGGGGAAGTGAGGCGCTCCCGTTCAATGCCTACACTTCAGTATGGGACGTGCAGGGTGTGAAGAGGGTGGTATGTACTCCATGCCGCTGACCTGTATGTGCACTGGAAAATGCTGTTTTGTGAAAGTGTATTTTACCACCTACAAAACCAACCCCGACCCAAGCAACAGAAAAAGGTCTCTGTGTCCAAGTTCTCAACTCCTCCAGGCCAGCTTGGGTCACCCTGGACATCCTACCTTGGTAAGGTGCTCAAAACAAGGGTGTGGTGAGCGTGGCTGGTGGAGCAGAGCTGCGGAGAAAGCAAAAACTGCCCAGGCACATGGTCTAGAGCCCACGCACCACCTGAGGAGAGAAGAGAAACAAAACACTTTTTTAATGGGCTTAAAGGTTATTTCAAATTATTATTAAAGCAAGGAAGGATCATTTTAAAAACTAAAGCAGTTATACAAGCATAGGTGAGACCCTGAAAAAAAAAATCCCCAAGCATGAATTCAAGGCAGGTCCCAAATGAAGCCACACAACCTGCCCCAGCCCCAGCCCTGCTGCTCCCTGGCATGTGCCAAGGGCAGGATCCTTCATCTCCAGGGCTGCTTCCCCGGACGTAAAATTGGGAAATTACAGACATTAAACTCTCTCACACTGCCCCTCATAAGCATAGTTTGTGAGAGAAGCTGGGTGGGAGAGGGGCTACAGCCGGGCCTGCTCCTCCAAGCCCTAGGATGCCACTGGAGCTGCGGAATAGAGGGAGCCCTGGGCAGCAGGTGGCAGCAGTGACAGGAAGAACCAGGAAAAGCTGGCAGGAACCCCCTTTTTAAAACTAGCTGGTGTTCAGTTGCAGCCGCCCCAGACCCACATTGGCTGCTGCCCAGAAGCCCTGGGTAAGGAGTCCATGCAGTGCCAGCCTCACACAGGACAAAACAAAAGATCTGACACTCTTAATTCTGTCCACTCTCCCACTAAGCCTGCATTTCTTACCCGACTTCATTTCATCGGCACACTTACAGACCAGACTTTAGTGTGGAGCCCAAACAGGAACCAAGTTACATTAATGGAAAGCTAGCAGGGAGGAAAGGAAATCAATGACCCCAACTCCACAGAAGACCAACGCGGAGGCCTTCCTTGGGGATCTTCCTTCTCTTGTTCAGACTACACCAGCAGAAGGCCCTGCACTAAGTGAGGGCAAAGTCAGAGAACCAGAAGCCAGGGGCTGTCCCAAGCCTGTCCTCCCACAAGAGTAAGGTCTGCGGAGCTCCAAACACTGTACCTGGTTAATTCTCCCATTAACCTTGTTTCTTCCGGCACAGGACCCTGCTGGCTTGCCCAGTCTCCTGTGGCAGAGGGGGCGGCCACACCTGAGCGTCAGGCTTCACTGACCCCAGCCAGGCCACCCTTGTCACATGCTCATGCACACAGCTGCACAGCTGTACAGGAGCTCTGCAACTGCTGACTCATTGAGAGAGCCAGGACTGGCACTCAGCATCCCGTGCACTCCCAAGGACCAAGCTGCCCCTGACTCACAACTCCAGACCAGGAGGCCAGCTTTCAAAGACCTATTTCCCAACACCCTCCCCTTCCCAGAGAACCACCTCAATTTGCTGTTGAGCCATCCACCACAGCCCAGGGCATAATTATGACACACCTTAGGGTGTTGCAAGAATGGGATTAAAAAACAGTGCTCTAGAATAATATTCTGGATCCAAGGTTCTTCCACCTCGAAAGATGAAGGATTGTTAGAGCCAGGCCAACTGCAAGAAGACACTAAGTGTAAGCTGGCTCTATAAGCAAGAAACAGAGGCTTGCGGAGGTAAGGTGCTTCATCACTGTGGAATGGACCTTTCTGGCCCAGGAGCAGATGCCTCCCATGGTTCTCTTCATCAGATGCCAGGGTTACGTCTACCTAAGCTTTACACCGGTGACTCTCAGTCCTGCGTGTGCCTTACAAACACCTGAGGAGCAACCCTAGCCTTGACCCCAGCTCAGGACAATGAATCCCAATCCTAGGTGAGCCCTTCCAACTTTCCCACATAGCCTCCCCATGTGGCGGGTACTCCTCCAGCACCCTCCAACCTCCAGGGCTGCTCTGCCCTCTCTCTGGCACCTACCTACCCCCTTCAGATCTCGGTGTTCCTGATTCCCCATTTAAAATGGAAAATCTACTTCCCACCTCTCCCCGACCTGCCACCCCTTCCTTTTCTCCATTATACTTTCCCCAACTCTCACTCTTTGTACTTTCCTTGTACTCGAGTATGAGATCAGGGAGGGGAGGCTCTTGCTGGTTTTGTGCCCTGCCGTTATTCCCAGCGCCTAGAACAGTGCTGGCATACGCTGGCCCTTGAGTATTTATTCTAGGAATTAATGAACACCCCAGAAACACCAATCACTAACATGACTCACACTAACAGATCACAGAGTAGCCGATTAGACCAACACCACTTCTCCACTGATCTCATCTCAGTCAAATAAGCTGGAGGTCTAATAAAATAGAAACCATTAAAAAGTATTTCCAGTCAATTAATCCAATCCAAATGGGTGTGTGAGTTGAAGACAGTTTGTTCTCAGAAATAGATAAGAACCACGGAGACAGAAAACACAGCTGAAAGACAGTGATGGAACAAACAGGTTTCAGAACCTGACCTGGTTTGTGTAGGCTCACCAGAAAGCCAAGGGCAGGCACAGCTGCACCCAGACAGGAAGCAGGCTGCAGCAGACCAGAGCAGACAGGCGCCTCTCCTGGGTTAGTCTGTGTCATGGCCTGCTTACCACCCCCACCAACCTGACACACCACAGTCACATCGCCAGGAGTCCCTCTCCTCAGCCCCTTTTCAGACCCCACTTTTATGACTCAATGAAAACCACCAACCGCAGGCCCTGCAGCGTTTTCCAAGCGGGGCACACTCAGCAGCTGCCTCTGTGTCCTGCCACCACCAAGTCCCATGAAGACCACTTGGCTTTATCTCACACCTGCCAGGCCTTGCCAGGCTGGACTCTTTCTCACCACCTCAGATCTCTCCCCATCCCACCACGACGATCATTCTGCATGTCTAAGCTTGGCCCATCTTCCCTGAAACATCCCTCTTATGAGGTTACTCTCTGCTTGGAAACCCAAAACCATCCCCCACCCCCACAAGCTGATCCCACCAGTATCCACCTCAGGCCCAGCGTTCTGAGCCGCCACTGTCTCGACCTGGACCAGGCACGGTTACTGACCTTGCAGTTCAGTTGCTGCTCCCTCACCTGATTCGGAGAGTCAAATCCCTGTCTCCCCCCAACACCACCCTTCGAGACGAGATTGTGGGGTCTGGCATGGACTGTCAGGAATACCCTCATTCTCTTCCACCCCTCTCACATTCACTCTCTCCAACATGAGCTTCTCTGCTGCCCTCTCCCACTCCATCTCCACTAGGCCTATGCATGCATGTACACACATCCATCCATTCAGCACATGAAGGGAGCACCTGCTATGTGCCAGGATGTGGGTACCACAGTGAACAAAACGGAGTGTCTGTCCATGTGGCACTGACAGTCCACTGGAGGGAGTCAGGCGGTCTCAGAACCTGTCCCAACTGGGCTTCCTCGCCTGCAATGACAATCTGGAGTGTACACATTCTCCAGGCTGAGGCAAGGGAAACAGCAACTACACAAATAAGGGGAAGAAATTCTAGGCAGAGGGACAAACTAGGGGAAAGGCTCCTGAATCTCAGCAGGGGATGGGAGCAAAAGAGGGAGGCTCTCGACCTCCGGTGGAAGGTGACAGGATGTCCTGGACAGGAAGAACAATGACCTCTGATACTTCAATGTTTTTAAAGTTTGTATTTATCAGGAAGGCAGAGAGACAAGACAGAGGGAGACAGGCAGAGACAAATCCACTGCTTCCCACCCCCAGTACCCAGCCAGGAGCCAGGAACTCCATCTGGTTCTCCCACATGGGCAGAGGGACCCAAGGACCTGAGCCATTACCTGCTGCTCTCGGGGGATGCAGCGGCAGGAAACAAGCTTAAAAGCAGCAGTAAAGCACAGCTCAATCCCAGGCCCGCCAACGTGGGGCACGGACATCCTCAGTGGCATCTTAGCTGCTGGGCCGTGACATCAGCCCAACTTATATTTTCCAATGTTTCTCTGGGTGGGCAGTTGGCACAGAAGTGAAGACCTCCCATGCTGCTTCACGGCCCGGCTCTGGCTCCTGACCCCAGCTTCCTGCTACTACAAATCCTGGGAGGCAACAGTGACAGCTCAAGGAACTGGGAGACTTGGCTTCAGTTTCAGGCTTTAGGCTTGGACTGGTCCAGTCCCGGCTATTGTGAGCATCTGAGGACTACACCCAACAAATGACAGTTCTTTCACTCTGTTTCTTTCTGAACCTCAAATCAACAATTAAGGGCCCAGAGCAGTGGTTCAATTGTCTAAGCCTCCCCTGACAAATGCTGGGATCCCATATGGGTGCAGGTTCATGTCCTGGCTGCTCTCCTTCCCACCCAGTTCCCTGCTAATTTGTGTGGAAAAGCAGAGGATGCCCCGAGAGCTTGGACTCCTGCACCACAAGGAGGCTCCTGGCTCCTGACTTCAGGCCATCCCAGCTCCCACCTGTTGTGGCCATCTGGGGAGTGAACCAGTGGATGGATGGCCTTTCTGTCTCTCCTTCTCTCTGTGAATCTGCCTTTCTAATATAAATAAACAAAATATTATTAGAATGATCTTTCCCTTCTGACTCTTAGCCATCTATGATTAAGAAGACTGTTCTCATGTCCATTCCCAGATTTTCTAGACTGAGCATACATTATTTCTTAAATGAGGAGTAAAATGGTCTGCCCAACCTGAAAGCTCAGCTTCCACCCCAGCCAGCAGGCGGCCCGGGCTGGGGAGTCAGCAAGCAACAGCTGACTCAGCAGCACGGAGCCCTGTTGCAGCCCTCACTTCTCCAGGGCCTGCCCGTGGAATGTGTCCCTTCAGACACATTCCCCAGGGCCTGCCCTGGTCCCAGTCTTTTTCTCAGTAGGCTTAATTAATTCCCGGTAATTAGTGCTCCTGTTTGGTGATGAACTGCTAAGAGTGTGACCTCTCCCAAGGGGTGTAAATATTTTAAAAGAGGAACTCTCCATGACAGAAGTGCAGTGGCAAGGAGCAACAGTGGTAGAATGACAGACACTGGGGTTCACACTGAGTGGACAAGGGTTCTCTGCTCTTAAAGGGTATGGGTGCTTCGGGAGACAAGCCAAACACTGTAAGATGGGATGAAGTCTTGCCACCAGACCCCACTCTCCTACATAACCATCTCATCCATTCTGGGTACTAGGAAACATTCATTAGCGTAACCTAGCCACTTCAGAGGGTCACCACTGCCCCATAAAAAGAAAAGCCTCCCAAAGACACTTCCGGCCTGGAAGCAGAGTTCTCTAACAGCTGGCAGCAAGAAGACTCCTAGAGGGCAAAAGTCATCTCACGTGCTTCTCTCATGCTGCAGCGTGCTGGGCGGAGCCCCGCAGCCCTTTCACCTGCACCTGCACCTGTAGATGACAGCTCTACCTGGGCCCCACTGCAGAGGGAACTGTCAAGACAGGAAAACGCTCTCGTTAGCAATAAGGGTGGTACTGACCACAAATCTAGTAGTTTTAAGGGCAGAGATTTATTACAGCAGCCCTAAGGAAGTATCAGATTGTGAAGCAGCTTTTATAACCTCAGCCACTTGAGTTCTGGTCTGCAGTCTAATTCCAAAAAGGAGAGAGCATCCCTTCCCCCACTCAGACCAGAGTGTGGCCAGGCCAAGCCCAGTAGAGCCTGCAGCCCTGGGCTCCCTTGTCTGACAGATGCGAGCGCTTGGCCTCAGACTTGTCCTTAGGCACCACTAGCTCCAAGATGGCTCACAGCTACACCTGCCACCTTCAGAACCTGCCCTCCTCCTGCTAAAGAAATCTCTGCAACTTCAGAACCGAACAGCTAGAATGTTGTCAATCACAGCAAATGAGGGAATAAACGTGGAGCCAGAGCCCATCCCATGGGCTTGCCCTCGGCTGCAGCTTGCCAAGGGCAGGGTGGGTAACATGTTCCAATATCTAGATGTAAATAAGGAAGGAGTACCTCACCCCCCCATTCCTGCTGCACCCCGCAAGAAGGGAACACTCAGCAATGCACGAGAGGCTGACACATGCAAATTCTCTCCTTATAAGCCCTTCCGGGGCCTAACACCAAGGCCTCTAGCAGCCCACGTTAATGCACAGTCCATAGGAGGTGGCCCAGGGCCACACGAGAGAAGAAGCCTTTCTTTAGGAGCACCTAAAGACGGAAGAAAACTCACAGGTCTAACTGGAAAGGCTGTCTGCGTTTTTGCTTTAGGACATTCAGTGCTTGTCTCCAAAATGAAAATCGATTTACGAGGCTTTTGTCATTGTGAAGGTGTAAGCCTATATAAAATTCA